ATAAATTTGGGCTATTATTATACCATACGTTTCTTAAGTAACCTGACCGATCCTTGAGGCTAGTGCATATAAAACAAACCGGGTGGTTGTGATAAGAAAAAGCTTATTTAGTAATACTTGAAGCAACTAGATATGCTGTCAGCACACAAGTGAGGTGAAGATGACACATTCACTGACCGTAAACACAATGCTGATGTGAGACAACAAAACTGGTCGCGTTGCCTTGCATCAATCTTACTGTGTTGGCTAGACTAGGAGCAATTTCTGGCTCATGTAATAAAGGCAAGGTTGTTGAAATCAAGGATGCTTCGAAAGTAAAAAAAATGTACAGATCGCTCGGGACTGAAACTGGAAGGGAGGGCTATGGTTGGTATTTGTGATTGTGCCACCCTAACGCAAACAACTGTACCGATTTTGAGGCTGTTCTTTTTAGCGGATAAACAATTGATTAAACGTTCAAGATCGTAGAAGCACGGAGCTTTCTTTCATTGAAATAATCATTCATCTTTTAACTACGTAAATAAGAAACAATTTTTCCCACTATTGGGTGTATGTCTCACGTTGTAGCATACCAGCCTAGATTCGTGTTCACCGAAAAAGTGCTTGTTGGGACAGGAAGTTCTTGTCCGCAAGACAGCAGTCTAAATAACTGACTGGTCAACAGTGTCCAGTCGATGAACCGAGACCGACCGAGATGAATTCTCCCCATCAGTGGACACTGATGGAATTCGGTGTTTACTCTCACGTGGTTACCACAGACCTGAGCCATTTTGCAACAAATTTTATCTTACCAGTAATCCACTTGTTGGAGGCATATATACCAACAGTTCATGTAACTGATGTCTCAACAAGGCATGGGGCAGTGCATGCGCTCTGAGCTTCGTTAAGTTGGTTTCAAAACAGCCAGAATAAAAGTGAGAAAAACAGTCGAGAAATCTCATCTACCAGTAGTACCTACTACTTGACCCCGAGTAGACTTCGATGCTCCTAGAATAAGAAACATTGTTCAAGCCACTTATGCCAAACGTCCGAAACGTTTACTCCGCATTACGTAGAAGCAGAAGAATCGATTGTTTCGTCCGGAAGGTTGGTACATGCGAATTTGGACTCAAAATTCTGTACAGATTTCGCAGTCGTATCTTTTCAAGTCAAGGCGCATAATTCATATCACATACACAATTTGTCATACCACTGACGTCCTTTTTACAAATATCTGTTCGGTTAGTTTATTTACATGAGGAACACACGGCACGTTAACATGTGTAATGGACGTACACGTGGTTAAATCAAAACGTTTTCATTCCGTCCAGCACGTATTCGAACAGCAAAAAACCGATGTTCAAGTGACCTAATCATTGTTTCAATGAGACACCGCGTGTATGGTACAAAAAATTAAATCCAGTCGCTTCTCGCAACACGTTAGCGTTCATTGGCAGCAGTAAGTTCAACAAGGTGTTCCATACAAATGGCGCTTCTTCTCAGTTTGTAACATTCTGTGATGCCATTCTTATTGGTCTGTTTGATGATATGCCCGACAGTTCGCTTTCGATGTCAATAGCCCGTCTAGACAAGCCAAATTCAAGAGCCTATTTCAGGCTTAACGTGGTGCCACTGTTAACAAAGTGGTGACATTCACCATCGAAGGCCCATTCATTTAGCAAGCCGTCTACCGTTCCTCAGGAGAACAGTTTATTAGATCAAATGGCAGCAGATAACACGGACGTTGCCGCAAGAAAGAAGACAACAGGCATGACCACTGGGCAGAAACACTGCGTCTGGAATGTGGTTGAAAGTGAAATTCGAACGAACAAACGAACGATATTCCACGTAAGACTCTGCGTGCTTAAAACGAACAAAAGGCATACCGTCTAACAACCCTCGAAAAGCTTCAGGGAAGAATAAATGTCAACGAAGCTCTCCTTCGAATTCGTAATAGTGGTGGGAAAAACGAATTCCACGGATTATAAGAAAAGCTGTCAGTATTGTCTATAGGGTGTGCCAAATAGGAGGCGGGTTTCGGCATTTTTTAGTTGTCCGTAGACGGTCTGACATTTTTACAGGTATGGTGACAATGCAGCGGGAGAACTAAAATGAAAATTAAGAATCTTCCTCTTCGGAAGAATTACGAGCTCCTTGCTGGAAACTAACTAGCTGGAAAAACAAAAGATCACTTCGCGACTTCCCTCTACGATAGACCAACAGCTGCCAAAGGCTGTCGTTTCTTATGCCGGCCGAAATTTACGTCTCTCACATGGTGATCATAGCTCTTGTGTGACAGCGCTTGTTTGCAGATGAGGTTGAAACTCAACGCATTCTAACGTTTGTACTGTTCTTCAGCCGAGCGCGTTACACAAAGATCGCCTTATGTTTCATTTAGAGTGAGCGATCGAGATGTCTTTCATTCGTAGGACACTATCCATAAAGCTCATGAAAATTCTTGCGGTCCCACTACCGAATTCAATCATTTGGAAACCCAGTAGCTAGGCCTGGTCCGCCAACATCCCACAGTCTTAACTGATAGTTGAGCACCAAATCGGACGCACCTTCAGAAAGTCAGTTCCTTAAAAATCAACTTGATACTAACGAAAGACTCAAATGAACTCTAGATGAACTGTTGGATCAGGTGCGAAACCGGAAGTGGATTGTCCAGGACTTTACACTGAAAAATTCGGGTTGTGGAACGCCAAGGAAGATGCTTCGCCTTGTGCACCATCGTTTTAACCAAAGGGGGTAGCAGAATTTGTTCACATCACTCAGATGTAGAGTTTGATGAGTGAAAGATTCAACTAGTGATTTGGCACCGTTCTCGTTTTTAAATTCAGGTTTTTCTAGACAAATTCACAGTTAGATGTTCAGGTATGAATTGAGCTGAATGGAACGCCGAGGCTAAGATCTAAACAAAGCAACACTTTTGGTGGGTTGCCTAGAATATCCTGTCAAAATTTTGCCTTGAAATGTGTCGTTTAAGTGTACGAATGAATGACATGATTGCCTCTTCCCGTCAGGTTCATAAGCACAACTCAACTAGAGTGATAGGCTGTCCTAAATTCAACAGGTATCTGAACTCAGATTATGATAAAAGGGCAGTACAGCAAAGCTTTGGGTTTTATGACTGATAGCTAATTAGTGGCCCTTTGCTGCAGCTATTTACTTTATAAAAGCACATCAAGATGCAAGAACAAAACAGGTAGTGGGTCATGGTAATCTATTGAATATTCTGCTCCGTAATTCACGAAATTATTTCGAGAAGTGATGCACTTCACGTATTTTGTTTATCAGACCATCGCAAGTTTAGGAAAACTCTCTGCAGCGGACCGTTTATCGTGACCCTCATAGACTATGAGTAGGAAGGAAAGAAAGCAATATACAATCGTCATTGATCACAAGAGTTTCGGAAGCGGGTAGGTTTCATCTCTCCCAGGTAACGGATAGTTCAGCTACTGATTAAACTACTCAACAAAGTTGTTGCCTCCTTCCTACCTAGCATGCTTTACGAACACCAAATTTCATGGAACAGCAAAGCACCAAGTCTCAAAAGGACAAATAAGGCAACTTGAACAGGCTTGGACATTGATGGCAATTCACTTTATTAGGATTTCTCATCAAGGAGAGACCTTGTGCCACAATTAATCTGTAAACTCATGATGAGTAAGGACGTTTTACTAATTGTTTTACTCTTTGGAATTTTTTTGCCAATTATGTCCTTTGTATAGACTTACTCACACCTTTCTGCTGCATTCAAAAAACTATAGGAAGGAGTTGACAGAAACCAGTCTGTGACAGGTAAGTGTATACGGTAGGGACCGGGCAAAAGTGGCCACTTCCGTGCGATATCTTATCGGAAAAGTATAACTAAATCTGGCGACGAAAAATCTCACTCACTAAAATTTCAATAAACACAAAAGATTGCAACTCGTTAAAAATGTGACCGGTGGAGAAACGATTTAGTTCGAAATGTTTCTAAGTACATTCCTCCAGTGCAAAAACTATTTTACAGGGGCAACACACTACTCATAAGGTTGCTGAAAACCTTGATGTCCCACGACCGGTTTCGCACTTCTTGAAGAAAGAGAGCAACTGGATTCATTTGAGTGGCCCATTAAATCCAAACCTGCATGCAAATGAGAGTATTTGTCAAAACAGCAAAATAAATGATCTTCCGAATGATGTTTGAATAAAGAAGGCATGAAATCGCTGCATTTTGTAGCATTACTAGACGAGATATCCGACGATGCGAACGAGACGTACCGTCAACAACAGCGTATTTGGAATATCCACGACGGATCACTAACAATCCTATAGAATACTGGTCAGATAAATTTATGAGCCGTATTGAAATCGCCGAATTCGTCAGATCACTAGAATCCATCGTGTATAAAGTAGATAAATGGCTTCACAAAAGAAGTCTTCTTTAACCTGTTTTCCAGAACTTGTTAAGCAATTGGGAACTTAACGCCTTCCCTCATTTAAGCATGTCATTTGAATGAACACGCCAGACATCCCAGGATGTCTAGCACCTGCCAATCAAAGTCTGTTACTCAAGGTCATCATCACGGGCTCACTTGTCACACAGATATTCCTAAGAATGGAGGAACATACGATAGTATGCGGAGTGAACAGACACAGAGAGTTGTTGGCAACCGAGTCCAGGAAAAAAATGCCCATCAAACAAATGTACTGATGTTTAAAACTGTCTGGACTGAAATATAAGTGAACATAGTTGAAAAGCTACTGAGGGAAGATAAGGTGTTATGCAGAGGGCTTGGATAAATTAGTTTTTTGTTGATTCTGACAGAAACTCGTCCCTTCTCTCTAGACACTTTGTATGGGAAACCTCTATTTCACTTAATGTGCGCAAGTAAAAACACAATCGTATCCACACTGCTGCTTATCACTGATGCTTATCCACACTGATGCTTATCAATTCACCCACAGAACGACGCACACTCAGTGAAGGTCGCGAACGCCCCAGTCCCTCGGCTCTGCACACCAACTTCATGGATCACGCACAAAGAAGTCGGTTCAGGTGGAAAACTCGATACTGCTTGGTCGAAGCGGAATCTCTGATCAATGCTATTTCCCTGTTCTTGACATTTGGTCTTTTGTTCGTTAAAGTCACCAGCACTATTCACGGAGTGGAGTAAGTCTGCCTGACCTTTCACAGTCCAGATGCACAACTGCGAACCTCAAGCTTTGTACTCAAAAATGTGCGTTTTCAGGACTAAAAACGGTCATACGACCATCAGAAACCCACCCCTACACCTTGAAAATTCACGAGAATGACAAATCAGAAAGAGAGATGATTATGCATGCACGTGATCATGGTGATCCACGAATTCGGGGAACCTTACATTATTAAACCCAACTGGTATTGAAATGTTGGCAAGTGCTTAACATCCTGTAGTGCTTTCTTTTTTAGAGCCCGAAAGCGTTCTATTCTATCGGGGATTTCCGCAGGTTCAGTCTAATACACGCAGAATGGGTCAGCGGGCTTTATCAGCAAGTCAGCACACAGACCTGAGTGTTACTCACTCCCTATGGGGACTGAATTGGCGGAAACTGACAGAACTTTGTATATACGTAACGCACTACTCACAAGGTTGCTGAAAATTCTTCGACAGCCCACGAACGGTTTCGCCCTGACGGAACTTTGTCAGCCTTGTCCTATCTAACTGGCTGAGGCAGATGCGTTATAGCCCTGAGGTTTTTGTCCATGTTTCTGGCTGGTTGGTCAACAAACCTGAAAGGACGTGTTTATGTTGAACATGCACGGATGACTTAGATAACAAGTACCATCAGCTATATGCACAAATGGTATGAGCCAGTCCTTCTTTGAACTTCTCACAGCCAGAGTGTGGTACCCTGGAGTGGCAGTTCTATAAATAAGGAGAATAAGGCATTTCAGTTCTACCTAGAAGCTATCACACTAGCAGATTTTTGGGCATCTCCACTTTTCGTTCAGTGTAGACCAAATACTCGGGTGCTGAATATGTGTCCCAGCTGGCTCGACCAGTAGAGTTTGGGTTCGCTGAGACCGCGTTCGTTGCGTGTACACATGCCACAGCGCAATCGGTCACAATCAAACCAATCATGATCCAAGAACCGGATCCACTCTGTGTGTTAGCTTAGATTGCTGATGAATACTCGTTAAAATGGTTTTACGTGACAACGGCACTCCGAAACCCGACATGTTCTGATTCACAAACTACTTCGTACCGACTAATCTTCGAGATGTGAATTGCTTACTGAAAATCTATGAGTAAGATAGTAAAACTTCACTGCGTGAAAAGACCTGGCATATACATTTTTAGACTACTGTCCGCAAAAAACTACTGTTGTGCGTGTGCCAAAAGGTATAATCACACACACCAATTTTTCGTTTAGAAAATCACGTCTTTTTGCTTGGCCAAAATGGCACATAATTGGACTGGCTAATTATAGAAACCGAGAAGAAATTCGGAAGGTTTGCAGACAGTCGACATTTATTTTATCGCAATCAGATGACAACTTAGCAATCGCCCACTATGTTCGAAGCAAACTAGGTAAGCTGACAAAAAGCTGTCAATTTTGGCTTTAGGCCAGGTGGCACGGATTCGCTTTACTGGACAGCGCTTATATGAGTGAAAGAAAAGAATGATAGCATCTTTTGGTGTCAATTAGTCGAAAGAACCTTCAAGATCAGTTCGAAACAATGAAGAACTTTCGGTTTGTTTATCAATTGTAAAGATGATAGTATGATGAGAAGATCCTGGCGAGGATTTTCTTATCACTGTCGCTGGAAAAGCGACGTTTTCTGTTCAACCCTCAAACGAATTTGAGAAGCTTATTGGTTTTCATGTGTTAGACGAGTAAATTACTTTGAGTTAAGTATCGCAATTTGTGGATTCCGTATTTAACCACTCTCGTTTTGAAAGCCCGCCTTCATTTCTGAAACAATGATTCTGGTTGGTCAACACTAAAGCAGGAAGGACTGAACTCGGGTTTCACTTCCTCTGTTTGCCAATCAGTAGTGTGCCTCCTGGACCGCACAGGGATTTGAAATCGAGCATGTTAACGCCACTCCACCAGCACACACTACGCGCACCCGAACTATCAAGTCTGATTAGTGTGCTCAGCGAAGACTACATAGTGCGCCTGGTAGGACCTGCCGGATTATTCTGCCCCATATAAGGCATATCACTTGTTGGAATAACCCAGTGAAAACTGCTCTAGCATTGCCTTAAACGAAGTCGGGATTGGGGTGGTTCAGGCATAACGAAATCGGAATAGGGCTGGCTCAAGACATTGAATTTTAAATCCTTTACCATATGCTACTTCCAAAATCTCACTGCATAACTTATCTGAATGGCTGTTCTCAAAGCCAAAGAAAAATCAACGAAACATGTGGTAGTTATCCTTCGAATGGTAGTAATACAAACTGCTGCCAGTAATCGTGTGTGGCTTATAGATAGGTTACCGAATTGCGTTTTCTCTAAGGAGGCACACAGAATAAACGGTATTACAGGCCATCAGGTATTCCCCGAAAACACTTCGGACGTAAGACATTCAATGTACTTGGATGAGTTGTTGGTCCCCGTGATGCTCCCTTTCACCACAGAAGTTTCCATGATTGCTTTTGCCAGACAAACATCCTATATGAACAAAGTGCTGGTCGTCAGGAACTACTAAAAACAATGCTGTCAGAAACAATGTTGTCAGTGTTCCAAAAATTGATTCACACATGCCACTGTTCATCCTTTCTACGAGAACTCTCCAGACGGTAGTTAGGTCATATTTTGTCAGATATAGTGTAGCTCTTGAGCGCTGACCAAACAAAATAAACTGACTTTGCGAACTGGCAGAAAAATATCGGCATTCATACGGAAAATGTATTTGATGCAGTAATAATCCGACGAGGACAATGGAGCCTTGATACTGAGTGATTCCTGTGACTCTGAACTACATTCATACCTTGCATGGCTGTCATAACTAATGCACAGGAATAAAACATCAAGTGGATTCGATCCAGTTGGTCAAGTCAGCAGTAGTACCTTTCTAGTACCTAGCTGCCGTGCCACCCGAAGGAAACATGTGGGCTGAGATACTGCCTGGTTGTCCAAGCCTAGAGAGGGGCATTTTAGGTGTGGAGGTTGGGTTCGAACCACAGACCTTCTGGTCGGTAAATTTGCACGTTAACCACTGAGCCACCTAAAGTCCAACGAGGAGCCAACCATTCAAAGCTTTATTCCCTTACTATGCGCTTGTGGGTGTGCATATGTTTACAAAGTCGAGATGTAAACATTTCGACCGGAAGACTTCCTAGAACCAAAATTTGCACGACATGGAAACGTGATAAACTTATGAGGCAAAACTAACGTGTTCGGTTAACCAACAATAATGTCTGTACGGCTGATCGCCAGTCACCATCAGAACACGTTAGTCAATGCCTACATAGCACTTCTTTTTGTGGCCCAATTCAACAAACCGTGGTGATAGTTGAACTTGGCATTTGTACGTTCCTACATGTTGCGTGTACCCAAAATGGCAATCAGCGATGTTTATCTCTTTTGATTTTAGTGTTCCCTACTGGCAGAAAGCTTCCTATTGGTCTTTGTGTTCAGCTACATGTGGTGAGGGTGTGCAGCGCATAAAATATCAGTGCGTGTCGCAGGATATGTATGGAATTTTAACCATACTTGAAGATCAGAAGTGCGAAGGACTTCCCCAGCCGTCTGAGCCGGGTGATGAGCGGTCATGCAATCTCGGTTCTTGCAGAGGCTACCGCTGGCGAGTGTCCGACTGGGGACATTGCTCTCAGACCTGTGGAGGTTTCGGCACAATGACAAGAGACGTTGATTGCGTCTATACTGGGATGGACGGAGACATCATGGTGAATGAGCGAGATGCCTCAAACTACTGTGGAATTTACGCACAACCGGAGAAACACAGCCCTTGTAATCGAATAGCATGCAAGCCGGATTTTATGCCTGAACAGTGGGGAAAGGTACGTTTTGTTGGCCATCGGTTATGAATGTTTAACCGTTTGACGAATTTGACCGGCTGACACTCAGAAAGAGCAGGTCTCCAATTGATAGGCTGAAGAACGATTGACAGCTGGTTAGGACAAGTTATTTGCCCCATTCATTTGTCTCTCACATCATTTGAGTGTCACTCATGCTTGGACTGCCCGATCAATAAGCAACTGTTTTACTCATCCACCATGCAGGAGATTAACAAAAAAAATAAGTTCCCCTTCATTGCAAAAACTGAAAAGAACTCACAGTATTAGACAGATTTTCCCCCTGTACTTCATACCAAATTAAGGGACCGGACATATTCTTTCAGGAGTCTCGTACCGGCCGCATACTTTGCATTTTCATGTACCTTTCAGTGCATTCAAAGCGATCCCTGTAGACCAGGCCGGCAAGTGCGCCAAGTTTTGTGCATATCCATCCAGCCAAATGGAACTCATGTACAGCTCCCCCGAGCGGCCTGTTACCGTCTTGGAAGACCACAGCAACCGACATGGAGACGATGTTTTATTGAGAGCACAACAGGATGTGAAGACCAGCAACCCACAATCGATACTGATCACATGACCATCGTCCAAATGCGAAAGGTGCGTGAGAATGATTTATTGGTTACTTTTAAATATGAGGGATCCCCCAGTCGTTTTGATTTGGTTGTACATAGGAACTATTATCGCGAGATTTAATAGAGTAATATTAACGAGAAATAGATTAGTAATGAAAGCGATAATTTACACGTCTCGTGGAGCGAGGTCGTTTGTTGTATACCCCCAAGTGCAATAATTGGAACCTAGTAATTCCATGTCACATTATCACAAAATCTCCTTACCTAAGTAAGGATACAGACAAGAGAGCGTACCATGTTTTCAATGACAGAAAGTTGCTTCAAAGATGTTTGGTCGACCTAAGCCGCACCTCAAAATTGTGCGGATTCCAGACTCGCTTAAGACTTCGTAGTGCCACCTTGTTTGTTATCGCCCTATTAACAACCGGGTTACTGTAATAGCCACTATCCCAGTGGTAACGAAGTAGTTTTTATATTCAGATTCCTTGTTCACACGATGAAAAGATCGAATGAAATGCAGTGAAGATATGATAGATGGGATGTAAATTAGAGTGATATCTTTATGAACAAGCCAGAAAGGACACTATCAAAGAGCACAATTCCACCTTGCACTTCTGTCCCAGACATGTGAAGGGCAAGTTTTAATAGGTGACTGGAACAGAGACCTACCGTGTATTGTTATTGTACTAGGTATTGCCTCACCTTCAACCAGTTTTGACTGTGAAGTGCAGTTGGAGGATGAACTGAGTGTATCGCTGCAAAGTCATCAGGTTGTACGCAAAGAAGGAGTTTCTGAAGTGCTTAGCACACACGTTCTTCCAGTTTCGTACCTCCGAGGAACAGAATCAATCTGTTGTATCGCCTGTTCAACAGAAAATCGAAGCAGGCAAACCGAATGCACTTTCAGGTGAGCCTGACCTTCTTTCCAACATGTTCCAGAGTAAAAGCTATCCTGACGGGTTTATAGCAAGCTTACTGGGAGAAATTTCCACGAAAGCCGTTCACACATAAGACTCTGTGAGTTTAGGACTGCCTCATAAAGGTGACTCCGTATGAATTTGAAACGCACTTTTAGTGCAGGTTACCAACTTCGCCATCCATCCTATGTCCAGGAAGACAAGTGATACTCTACGTGTAGTAACTCTCCTCTGTGTAGTAACCAGTTTATACGCGACCGTGTGGATCGCTTCATTGACCGGATAACGCGAACGCTATTTAAATGCGTGTATGAACATATTACATTCAGGCTAACAGAAAATGACTTTATCGGATCAGCTGAAACCTGAGCGCGTTTACTTGCTCAAGAACATCATAAACGAGTGATTCAGCTGTGTTCCAGGTGGATCAACCGTGAAAACCAAACTAATGTGCAGATAAGTGTATAATTCGGCCCAAAAACTGCAAAGTTTAGTAATAGGACACCTTGTGTTCACAAGTCATCAGACTAACTCTATGATGACAGTCAAAGTACTCTACGAAGCTAGATTGAAGCTACCACATAAAACCGGAATGAAGGGCACAACTTCACCATAGGTTTATCTTGGCGTTCTGTTCACAGGACTTGCTCATCGTGGATTTCCTTTGGTCAGTCAGTCACGTGACGTGACACGACCGGTCAGCCAGTCCTAGTGTCTCCGATTCCTGACATCACCCCACAAAAACCAACCCTCGAATTCTTTCCAACCATAAATCGCATATCAACCTTGCAAGTACCTAAATGATCACATGTCGAATGAACTCAAGTAGACTGAATAGTTCGGGAATAATTTTGAATAACTCATAATTGAAACAGCATTAAACCTCTAGCTGTAACAATGAAAGCTCTTCGGCAGCTCACAATCCGTTTCGCCCTTTTTGGTGCTCAGCGGATAGGTTCAGTCCACGAGTTGCCGTCAAATTTATGTTCTACCCGAAACCAAATTGCACGAAATTTTACTACTACACTCATCTGCACACCAATTTGCGTTTCATGGGGACCCAGCAGCACTGCATATTTTTGGCACTGCAACCTCAGACAAAGTCTGACTATGTTTGTTTATATGGATCACAAAACAGTCGATAAAGTATAGCATCGCTTTTCACCGTTCATCTAATGCAAGCATCATAAACGAGAGATTCAGCTGGGTTCCCGTTGAGTCTTCTGTCAAAACCAAATTGATATGTAAATGAGCGTATTTGTCGAAATGTGTCCAATTGGAGTTCAGGTAGAACATAAGGTTGACGGAAACTCGGAGACTGCGCCTATCTGATGAGCCCTAAGAAGGGCGAAACCGGTCGTGGGTTGTCAGAGTTTTCAGCAGCCTATGCATGCATCGCAATCTCTCGAGTATCGTGACAAATGAAACATGGGGCGACCTGGTGAAGCACATTGAGTTGTTCAAAGTATCACAAACGAGAGGTACAGCTGGATTCCAGACGAGTCTGTCATCAAAACCAAACTGGTATGCAAATGAGTGGATTTCCCCAAGCTGGAATATCTTTCTGAACTTTTGAGTCGCCCTTCAACAAACCAGTGTTCCAACTTATATTGCAGCCACACTGAATTGAACGTCATCACACTTTCAATAATTTCAAAGTGCATGCGACCTTGCGAGCCCATTCCAGCTCGAATCCTTCACTGCTTTTGTTCAACCTAGAACGACATATTAAATGTACATCCAGTGGTACTGCAGACATTTACCCAAAAGGCAATTCCTCATTTTACCGCTTCATTTGAAGTGATGGATCATAGCCTACAGTTTATTTTTATTTTTTAGTTTTAGTTGGTAACAGTCAAGTATGTTTGGGATGACCAAACTCTATGATACTTGCTGCATTTGTTGCAAAGATAAAGTTAATACAAAAGAATCGATACCCATGGGTTTCCAACAGCAATCTTGCTCATCAAAATGGCTCTGCAGCAAAATTATTTCGCTAAAGGTTCTAAGGTAAGATCCCATACTCCAATAAATTCTTACAGAATGATTGTCCGAAAACTAGTTGGCTAAAACAAAGGCTCATAAGCCATTCAACAGCATAGAGGCGAAGCATTCTTTTGTGACGAGACGGGTGAATTACTTCAGTGCATGCTGACAAAATGCTCTAGGTGTGCACACTAATAACTCCAGAAAGGTCTCTGAGCACAACCACGAATAATGTTCTGTCAGAATGGAACGTACCTTTTCCAGGTTGCAACCAAAATTTAGCTAGTTTCAATGGAAACTACAATTTCTCCACCATATTTTCTACTATAAGAGACCCTATCAGACTGATTTGGCCGTCTTAGAACAGTTTTTTGCGGGCTTGGTGACTCAGAGACTCAATCACTCATCAGCTCATGTGGCGAGAGGAAAAATGGCCACTTACTTGAGTCAAACCCTGAGATCAAGGTCAGCAACAATATCATGCTTGTACTTACGTTCTCTATCGTGTTCCGAGTTTCTGCATCGGGTCAGGATATAAAAACAGAAGAGTATGACATTCAGTTGTCGCCACTCGGTGGTAAATAGCATTATTAAAAACGTTGAAACCAGACAGCTAGGCTAATTGGAATGAAAACCGAGTCCCAGACTAAACATCGTGTGCAAATCTGATGATAAGCTGAAGCTATCCTTACCTTGGAAACTTTTAAATTGGCGACACTGTGCAAGTCCCCTTTGATAATGGCAAGTATTGGATTGTGTATGATAATGGTGCGTTTTTGTTCTATTTTTAAAATTAACCTACCGATTCAGTGGAGGTAGAAACCAACCCGGTCTCACTGCTGGTTTGTGTAGATGCATATTTTTCCACTACTCACAAAATGCCAGTAGCATGCTCACGAAGTCCCCCACTCAGTCAAGAGACTGTTCAGTGCCAACGCACGTGTCTGTGCAGTTCAGAATGAGTTGTACTATGATTGAAGTCAAGCTTCAACTTACATCTTAAAAGTTAGCAGTTTCACCAAGAGTTTCGGGCTCGAGCGTCCTGTGGTCATCAATCATAAATGCGCTTTAGTTGACTATCAGTCACGAGGAAATAACAGACCATTGATTTCCACTTCTCGCGAAAAACTTCAGCCTTCGACTAAAGTTACATAGCCGTCACAAAGAGACTGGATCTTACCGTGGTGTGACGGTTTGCGCACCTCAGCGATCCATTGAGTTATACTGGAGAGTGTCTCGCGACACTCACAGAGTCTCTCATACCAGGTTGGTCAATGGTTAGA